GGTGCAGATGCCGGGTGCAGGAAGGACACGGGTRCAGATGGAGGACACTGATGCCCTGCAGGTCATCGAGGAGCTGGAGGAGCTCATGCAGAGTTCACCTGACCCTGAGGCTGACCCCGAGGGTGAGGAGGAAGATGAGGAGGAGGAGGAGGAGGAGGAAGAGGAAGAAGAAACCGAGGCTGATGGTGAAGGCAAAGGCAGTGGTGGGGGCACGGAGCCCATCGTGCTGCGGGAGCTGCATGCCTTCTCCCCTGCCTTCAACAACAACTGCTCCCACGAAGGTATGGCCAGCAAAGCCCAGGCCAGTCACTTTTTAGGGACAATTCCAACCAAATTGGACAACTGAGTCTGTCCAGGCCTCAGTGCTGGCTTGTTCTGGGACTTGGCCAGAAGGGTTCTTGGCAAAAACTGTGAAGAACACAGGAATCTGGCTTKTGGTATGGAAAGGCACACGGGATCCACCAGGAGCCTCTGTGTTCTGCATGGGGTGCACCACGCACGTGGGATTTGTCACTTATGGCATGGGGCTTGTCACTAATTGCTCTGCTCTTCATCACACTGTGCAGGTCACTAATTGCACCATGTCACTGCACCATGCATGTCACTAATTGCACTGTGCATGTCACTAATTGCACCATGCATATCATTGATCACACTGTGCATGTCACTAATTGCACCATGCATATCACTGATCACATTGTGCATGTCACTAATTGCACTGTGCATGTCAGTAAGTGCCCCATGTATGTCCCTAATCACACCATACATGTCACCAGTTGTGCCATACGTGTCACTGATCACACCCTGCTTGTCACTAACTGCACTGTGAACATCACTGAGCACACCTTGCATGTCACAGGTCGTGCCAGGCAGTTCTGTCATTGCCCTGGGCACGTCGTTCACAGCACTGAGCGTTTCAGTAACTGCACAATGGGTTTGATTTCTTGGTGTGTCAGAAAATGCAGAGCACATCTCGCTCAGCACGAGATGCGGTTTAATGGTTGCAGTGTGCGTTTCATGACTGCACTGGGGGGGTCACTGGTTGCACCAGGCATTCCCCTCTTTTCCCCTTGCATGGCACCGAGTCCAGAGGAGGCCGTGGAGATGCTGCAAAGGCTGGAGCACCTCTGCTCTGGAGCCAGGCTGGGAGAGCTGGGGGTGCTCACCTGGAGAGGAKRAGGCTCCAGGGAGAGCTCCTTCCAAGGGGCTCTGGGGAGCTGGAGAGRRACTGGGGACAAGGGATGGAAGGAAAGGACACAGGGAATGGCGTCCCCGTGCCAGAAGCGATTTGGAAAGAAACTTCCCTGAGGGTGGGGAGGCCCTGGCACAGGGTGCCCAGAGAAGCTGTGGCTGCCCCTGGATCCCTGGCAGTGYCCAAGGCCAGGCTGGACATTGGGGCTTGGAGCACCCTGSCCTGGCAGAAGGGGTCGTTGCCCATGGCAGGGGTGGAACGAGACGGGCTTTGAGGTCCTTGCAAGCCACCCTGTCGCGGAATGTCCCCTCGGACACGAGCCCGTCTGTCCCGCGGCGCGCAGGGCTGGGGCGGCTGTCGGCGCGGGAGCTGCTGGCGGCGGCGGGCCGGGCGGAGGCGGCGAGCCGGGCGCTCTCGGCAGAGCTGGTGGCGCAGCTGGCGCGGCGGGACGAGCTGGCCTTCGAGAAGGAGGTGAAGACGGCGTTCATCGGGGCCCTGCTGGCCGTGCAGGGCGAGCAGAGAGAGCAGCGAGAGGCCGCCCGGCGCCGCCGGCGCGACAAGGGGCTGAGCRTGCAAGGGGCGCGCTCCGAGCGCGGCAGCCAAATGCCCCGCAAGGTGGGCGACCTGGTGGCCACTGGGACGGGATGGGGGCGTCTGGGGTGGACAGGGGATATGGGGACAGGATGGGGAAGAGGGGCGTGGGGGCAAGGGGGTGAGGATTGAGATGAGATGGGGTGGAATGGGAATGGTGACAGGATGGAGCAGGGATGGGGAGGACGCAGGATGGGGTCATGGAGCAGGGGGTGTGGGATGGGGGATTTGGCACAGGGGGATAAAGGGATATGGGATGGGGTACAGAGCAAGTGATGGGATCAATATGGAGCAGGGGTATGGGCAGGGCATCGCTGTGGGAGTCAGGGAGCTGTGGGTGACACTGGTGCCTGAGGAGATGCCGCGGGTGGTGTGGCTGTCCCCAGCGGGTGACAGGGTGACACATGTCCCCCCAGCGCTTCAGCATGGAGGGCATCTCCAGCATCCTGCACTCCGGCCTGCGCCAGACTTTTGGTCCTACCACCAACGAGAAGCAGGTGCCCTTTTCCCCTAGAATTTCCCCTAATCTGTTTCTTTTAGTCCTTCTCCCTGCACTCTCCATTCCCCTGCATCCCCCCAGCCTCCTTTTAGAGTGATTTTGTTTTACAACACTGCTCTATCCCTACACCCTGCTAATCCTCTTATGGAAAAATTGCTGTTTCACCCCAAAAAGTCCTTCTTGAGCAGGGATGGATTTGGGTGAAGTTTGCAGTGCCCAGTTAGCTCAGTACTCCCCAAAATACCTGCGAATTAGATGAAATTGCAGGAATTTTGCAGAAATACCCTATTTTTGCACAAATTTGGGGCAATTTCTTTCAGTTCAAAAACGAAGCAGTTTTGTGCCATCGGGGTAGTTTTTTGGGATGGCTTTTGTTTTTGCAGTACCTGAACACGGTGATTCCCTATGAGAAGAAGGGCTCACCACCCTCCGTTGAGGACCTGCAGATGCTCACCAACAGTGAGTATTCATTCAGTATGAATGTATTTAGGGCAGCATCAGATGTTTGGGGGACACAAAGGCACATTTTGCTTTGCTGCAATGGCTGCACTTTGGGATATCATTGCAGCACAGCCAGTTTGGGGGATTTTTTGCCTCACTGCAGCATGGGCAATTTGAGGTGCTCAAACCCATTGCAACAAAGCCAGTTGGGGAAAAACCCTGCTTTGCATCACTGCAGCACAGCTGGTTTGCAGCCCACACCTCCCCCCAGTTTACACCGGTGCTGATTTGGGGTAAATCACCCATTCTGCATTGTCACTGATTGGCTGATTGGGGATTAAAGTCCCAGGCCCGCTGAATAAACCCTGTGGGGAAATCGTATGGCAACTGTGAGGCTGATTTGGGGGGAAAAAGGATATTTAGGGGGGGGACAGCAGCGCCAGGCTGACAGCTTCCCTCCCCCTTGCAGTCCTGTTTGCCATGAAGGAGGGCAACGAGAAGGTGCCCACTCTGCTCACGGATTACATCCTCAAAGGTACCCACTGCCCTCCTGCCCTGCCATCCTTCACTCAGTGTCTGTGCAGCTCCTGGGCCTCCCCCACTGCACCCTCCTGCACCCTCCTGCCTCTGCCCCTTGCATCCTTTGTGCATCTTTTGCATCCTTTGTGCATGCTTTCCATCCTTTGTGCATCCCCTGCATCCTTTATGCATCCCTTGCATCCTTTGTGCATTCTTTCCATCCTTTGTGCATCCTTTGTGCATTCTTTCCATCCTTCGTGCATCCCCTGCATCCTTTGTGCATTCTTTCCACCCTTTGTGCATCCTTAGTGCATTGTTTCCATCCTTTGTGCATCCCCTGCCCATCCCATCCCTCCTGCACCCTCATTCCTCCCTTCTGCATCTCCTCCGTGCCATCCTGGAGCATCCCGGTCACATTCCTCATGCATCCTCCACACACTCCTCAGGAATCCCGGCTGCATCCGGGAAAATGACCCCCAGGCATTCTTTGTGCAGGTCTCCTGTCCTGCCACACCCCTGGAGGTYCCTGTGCAGCTTCCTGCACCGTCCTGGGTCCCTCCTTCATCCACGCAGCCTCATCATCCTCTGTGCACCCTCTCACACCCCACAGCCCATCAGGCTCCCCTCCTCTGATCCCTTGGGCATCCCCACCATCATCATCCTTTCATGTCCTGGTCATCCCTGCCCCATCTCTGTTCATCCCTGCCCACCCTGCCCCATCCCTGCCCATCCCTTCTCATCCCTTCTCATCCCTGCCCATCCCTTCTCATCCCTGCCCATCCCTTCTCATCCCTGCCCATCCCTTCTCATCCCTGCCCATCCCTTCTCATCCCTGCTCACCCCTTCTCATCCCTTCTCATCCCTGCCCATCCCAGCTCATCCCTGCCCACCCTCAGTGCCCCCTGGATGGTGCCCCCAGCCCTCTCTCTCTCTCTCTCTCTCTCTCTCTCTCTCTCTCTCTCTCTCTCTCCACAGTGCTCTGCCCGACCTGACGTGGTGCTGTCCCCACCCTCCTGCCCTGGCGCCTCCGAAACGGGGCCAAACCCCAGGAAAAAGGGTCACCCATGGCTGCCCCACCCTGCACTTCCCCCCCTTTGCACAACTGGGAATAAAGAATTCCTTACATTAATTAGGCAGCTGCTGTCYGGTGTCTGTGTCCCCTCTGCTCGTGAGAATCACTCATTGTTTGCAACTTTTTGATAGAAAATGCCATTTTTAAGCAAAAAATCCCAATACCAACTTAGCTGCAGTGCTCAGGAATATTCTGCAATCTATAAAAACCACAAATTTCCTGTTTTTTTCCTGGGTGCTCGGAGGCAGCTGCAGCTGCCACCATCAGAGGGACAAAATTCGGATGTAAATTCCATTCTTTTCCAGTTTTTTTCACTTTTCCATGGCCCCGTTTTGTGCTGGGAATTGTGCAAACATCTTTTCTTTTCCCCCAGAAAATCAATCCATTATTAAGGAATGGCTTGTTAGGGGACAGGGGGGCTTCCATTTGGGGGAGAATTGCTCTGTTTTGGGGTTTTCATTCATTTTGGGGAAGAGTGCCTGATTTGGGGGTTGTTGCTCATTTTTGAAGAATGTCATTCATTTTGGGGCRAATTCAGTCATTTGGGGGGAAGTCACTCATTTCCAGAAGGGCCACCACTTTGGGACAGCATCCTTTTGGGGGCAAGTCACTCATTTTGGGGGAGAATTTTTGGAGAATACAACTCATTTTGGGGTGAGTACCCATTTTGGGGGAGAATTGCTCATTTCAGGGAGAGATGAACCCTTTTTGGGTCATCATCTGATTCTGAGGAGCATCTCATTTTTGGGGTGTGTGTAACACTTTGGGTAAGCATCACTCATTTTGGGGCAGAATCACTCATTTTTGGAGAATACAGCTCATTTTTGGGGTGTGCATCACTGGTTTGGGGAGGTAGCATTCATTTGTGGCCAAATTCCCATTGGAGCTTTTTTGAGGGGGAAAATTTTCATTTTTGGTGGACTGTCACTTTTGGAATTACAAATCTRATTTTCTCCACATCACTCAATTCCATTCACCCGTTTTGGGCGTAAATCACCTATTTGAGGGGAGTTTTGCCCATTTTGAAGGGGTTATTCCTGCATTTTGGGTCTTCTCCAYTCAAAGGAAGAAGCTGCCAAGAAAATCCAGGTGCCACCCCTCATCTTGTAGCACTTTATAATAAATGGCCAGGAATTAATACTAAATTACAATGAATCCTTTATGAAATTACAGATTACATTCACGCCCGATCAGTATCGAAAAATAGGCATTTCTGCCCATTGCATCACTTGTGGTTTTTATCCCAGCTCTTG